TGCGTGCTTCTACTCTCTGGATTTCATGTGTACATCCCTTGTTAATGGTTCTGTTAAAGGGAATAAATGTCATAATCTTAGCCGCTTCACATACAAATTTTCAGAATGTTAATAAAGGAACTAGTGAAGATTTGTACAGTAGAATTTATGCCCAGACAACTCACTAAGTAGGTTAGGGATTAATCATAAAATAAAATAAGAGATAAATAGGTTAGACTACATTAAAATTAAGGATTTTTCTCATCAAAAGTTATTGTTAACTATTCTCCAGTACAAGGAGTTGAGTTCCTAGGAGAAATAGCTGATTCCAGGATTGGAGAAGCAGAAACATAATGTATGCTTAAAATACTTTGTACCAGAAGAGTAATGATGGCCCAGTAAGTAGACTGAGAAGTTTGTGCATATAATGAAAGTATAGAGCAGCTATTGAGATTTCTGTTCAAGGAGGTGTATGCAAAAAAATAATAATAATTGAAGTAGAAATCTAAAACTGGGCCAAGTTACCCACAAGGAGACAAGAATAAAGAAGACAAAAATAGGACTGGTGCCATAGTCTAGTGGCTAAAGTCCTTGCCTTGTATGTGCTGGGATCCCATATGGGCACCAGTCCTAATCCCAGAGGCCCCACTTCCCATCCAGCTCCCTGCTTGTGGCCTGGGAAAGCAGTGGAGGACGACCCAAAGCCTTGGGACCCTGCACCCACAGTGGAAACCTGGAGGAAGCTCCTGGCTCCCGGCTCCTGGCTTTGGATCAGCTCAGCTCCAGCCATTGCGGCCACTTAGGGAATGAATCATTGGATGGAAGATCTTCCTCTCAGTATATCTGACTTTCCAATGATAAAAATAAATCTTTTTTTTTTTTAAAAAATTCATTATTTAAATTAGTTATATACTCACACATACATACAAACAGAAGTGCTTCAAATAAAGTTCTCGAAAAATGTATTATGAAACAATTGTGCATATCTTTAAATAGTTTTTGCACAAAATTTCATTTTTCAGACTTTCTGTAGTATGTTGTTTTAGTGAATATCCCTGCCATGTTGGTAGTGTCACAATTAGTTTTATGGAGGATCACAAGTTCTTGGTGCAGATTTGTAGCTGAGGCTCAAGGTCATGCTGGATGTATGGCGTTAACAACTTGTGACTCCTGTTGCTTTTTCTCTTCTTACGTGGAAGGTTGCAGAAGCCGGTAAAAGGAAATGGCAAAACATGAAGTTTTATTTGGGAAACTTCCTGTCTTATTGACAGGATGCTGTCTACTTTCTTTGTTCACTATGTTTTCTCTCGTACTTCATTTCTCTCATCCTTTTTCCTTGTCTCCTCAGAGGCTCCTCAGCATGCAGAAGCCATCAGCGTTACTAGTCACAGATTTGCACTAGGGAATCTAACTTATTTTCTCCATGCTATTAGAGGGATGCTTGCAGATGTACATTTTCTTAGACCTGTTCTCTAATTTACTGACATTGGTTTGTTTCTTATTTTCTGCTTCTGAAGTCTTTGGGTCTTATTGTTCCCTTTCCCTCAAATTTACACAGCGTTTTTCTCACTTTGTGCTCTCTTTCCAAGAATAAGGAATATTTGTCCTAAAACAAATACTAAGATAGTTGCTAATTTTACCTTAGGGAAAGTTGATTTCATTACAATAATTACATGAATTCTGGAAAGTTGGCAAACTTCAGTAGGTAGACATTCACATTGTAACTTTTGCTTCAAGCCGTGCTATTTAGCATTTATTTGAAAAATGCATTTTGACCAGTTTTTTTTTATCAGTAGGGATTAGGAAAATATTATCTAAGTAAATTTTCAAAAAGAAATGAAGAAAATATTTTAGAAATTTATCTCATTTTGTTTAGAATTACTTTGATCTTAAAGTGTTATAATTTGAGAGAATAAAAATAAATGTTATAGATGCAGTCTATAAGACTTGGAATATTCTCAAAGGGTAAGCTGTCAGAATATTTAGACATTTATTACTAGTGGGCTTTTAAGACGTGGCAACACGGCCTTATTTGGCTATAGGCTCTCCTTGTGAACTATAAATATTACTTCAGTATTCAGGTACTGCTTACTTATTTAAATGTATTTAGATCTACATGCTTAATAGATATTAATTGTAAGGAAGAAAAAACTACTTTGGTAACTAGGCTTTCAAGAATTTGAGTCTTCTAATGTCCTCAATCTAATTTCTTTTAACTCACTGATGCTTAAAATGCAGTATTAAGTTCCTGATTTTCACCAACCACCTATAAAATTCTTCCTTAAAATAAATTTAACACAGTGTTAAACCTGATAAGGGATATCAAAAGATGACAGGTATAGCCTTAATGGAGTTTAAAATTTGAGAAGGCAACAAAGCAAGGAATGAAAAAATTGTAAGCACCAAGTTACTTGTATTATACTTGGCGCTGAGGCCCTTGCTTTTGAGTTTTTACAAACTTGCTTGATCGAGGTGTACAGGTTATATGTGTCGCTTGAAAACATTATCCAGTACTACTTCACATTCCTCTCCATCTGCCTTTTACATCTGAACTTTTTAAAGATTTATTTTATTTTTATTGGAAAGTCAGATACACAGAGAGGAGGAAAGACAGAGAGGAACATATTTCATCTGTTGGTTCACTCCCCAAGCAACTGCAATGGTTGGAGCTGCACTGATCGGTAGCCAGGAGCCTCTTCCAGGTCTCCCTTGTGGATGCAGGGTCCCAAGGATTTGGGCCGTCCTCGATTGCTTTCCCAGGCCACAAGCAGGGGGCTGGATGGGAAGTGGAGCACCTGAGACATGAATCGTTGCCAGGCCGTATTTCATTTTCTGTGGCTTACGTTTCACCACGACATGACTGAGTTCTCACTGTATCATAAGGGTGAAATGAAGATGCCACTCAGATTTAGGGGTATTCTGAGGAAGAGTTTGTATCCAGGCTGTTTCAGATGGTTGGCGGAATTGACCTGTGTGCTGATGTATGATTGAAATCTGTTTCCTTGCTTGATATCAATCTGGAGGCCACCCTTCAGTACCAGGTGGCCCCCACCATCTGCCTTGCTTTGATTTCCTCATGGTTTGAACCTCTGACTTTCCCACTCCTAAGCCAAAGAAAACTCTGCTTTGAAAAGGCTCTTGAATTAGATCAGACTTGTCTCTCTCTGGTTCCATACTGTTTTTGACTCCAGAAGGAAAGGCCATAGTCAGGTTCAGTTGTTTCTCATTGTCTTCTCCCTGCAGTGCCTGGCTCCGACCAGTCTTCCTTTTTGTCTGTGGATTGTTGTGAAACCACACAAATGTATCTGTGTCTTTTACTTAGCACAAATTTTTTGAGTTTCATCTATATTGCAGTAGCTTCTTTTTTTTTTTTTTTTTTTAATTATTTCAGTGGCTAAATCCTCACCTTGCATGTATCGGTGTCATATATGGGTGCAGTTTCGTGTCCTGGCTGCTCCGCTTCCCATCCAGCTCCCTGCTTGTGGCCTGGGAAAGCAGTGGAGGATGACCCAAAGCCTTGGGACCCTGCACCCATGTGGGAGACCTGGAAGAGGCTCCTGGCTCCTGGATTGGCTCAGCTTCTGCCATTATGGCCATTTGGGGAGTGAACCAGTGAACAGAAGATCTTCCTCTTGTCTCTTTTCTCTGTAAATCTGCCTTTCCAATTAAAAAAGAGAGAGCGCGAGAGAGAGACCTAAAGTCTTCCATCCAACAGTTTACTCCCTAGGACCAGAGCTGAGCTGACTTGAAGCTGGGAGCCAGGAGCTGCTTTTGGGTCTCCCACATTGTGGGTGTAAGTGCCCAAGGACTTGGTTCAACTGCCACTGCTTTCCCAAGCCATAAGCAGAGAGCTAGATCATAGGTAGAACAATCAGGATATGAACTGGTGCCAGTATGGGTTGCTGGCATTACAAGGTAGAGGATTAGCAAGTTGAGCCACTGTGCTGGCCCCTCTAGTTATCTCATATAATACTTTACAGAGAAACCCTTTTTTGCTCTAGGTATAATTGTACTTGGCTTTGGATGTCAGCAATCATGCCTTATAGGCCGAGTGTAACACTCCTTGATAGAAGCTCAGGATCCGGGGGTAGGGTTGGTGATCAAGCTCTAAATGCCTCTTCTAATTGATTATTCAGCAGGAATATAATGTGGAGAAAAATTACATTGACTGTGCTGTGTGTCTTTGTACTGCCCTGTTTTTGCTTTACTGTTAATGTTTTTTACATGAAATTTATTTTTTTTAATTTTTAAAAAGATTTATTTATCTTATTTGAAAGGCAGATTTCCAGAAGTTGGGGGAACAGAGAGGTCCTCTATTTGCTGAAGATTCTAATGTACTGATAAAACATTTTTTTAAAGATTTATTTTGTTTTTATTGGAAAGTCAGATGTACAGGGAGAAGGAAAGACAGAGAGGAAGATCTTCCATCCGATGATTCACTCCCCAGGGTGCTGCAAAAACCAGAGCTGAGCCAATTCAAAGCCAGGAGCCTCTTTTGGGTCTCTCACACAGGTGCAACTTCCCAAGACCTTGGGCCATCCTCTACTGCTTTCCCAGGCCACAAGCAGGGAGCTGGATGGGAAGCGGGGCTGACCGGGATTAGAACTGATGCTCATATGGGATGCTGGTACATGTAAGACAAGGACTTTACCCACTAGGCTACAGCACTGGGCCCAGATTTTGCATTTTTCACAATACATATTTAAAAGCAAAGGCATTCCACCTTCCCCCCATTCCCCTTTACTATATTTTCAAATTATTGTGATACTGTATTAATTTGCTTTATAATAACTTTCTGAAACTTAAAGATGCCATGATATGGCAAGTAAAGGAAGGAAAAAATGCTTATTTATACTTATTAGTATTCTATAGTATTATATATTAGTTTATAAGTATAGTATATTTATATTACTTTACTTATGTTTATGGTTTATTTGTTTTGTGTTTTTAAATAGTTGCTTAATATTTTAAAGAAATTTGTGTCAGTTTAGTGACTAATTGTTTCTTTTTTTCCTCCCCAGGGAAATGAGGCAAGTTACCCCTTGGAAATGTGCTCACACTGTAAGTCAAATATTCTTGTTAAGAGTTTTCTTTTGTACACATACGTGTGTGTGTGTTTATCACACATAATATGATATATATTTACATACTAATATAGCAGAGTTAACTATTTGCAGTGGTTGGTGAATTTGACATATCTTTATAAATAATTAGAGAAATTTAAAATCACCTGCTGGTGGCTACTACGGTAACCAGAAAAGGGTGGAGTTTGCCTCCAACCAGACGCAGAATGGATGGTGAAATTCTGGTGGCCCCTCAGGGGCTGAGACCACCGTAGTACCAATGAGGGGCACAGACCCATATCCCCCACCAATAAGGGCAGAGGCAACCTCCCATCTTGGCTCCCGTGTCAGGAAGAGGTTTAAAGGGCCCCTTCCCCATCTCTTCCACACTCTTCTTCTTTGCATCTCTCTCCTTCACGTCTATCTTTCTGCTGCATGGGGAAGGGAAGCCCGTGACCGTGGTTCCCTGATATAAAGGGCATCTAAATTCTTTTCACATATTTGGCTGAGTTATTCTTTCCCTGGTGGTCGGCCAATCTAACACCTGCTTGGTGCTATAACTCCTTGGATCTTGGGGGAAAACCCAACAGTTTAAGTTTACAAAGTTTCAAAGTGGATTTGTAGGAGCTCTTTTCTATTTGTTGACTTCTTGATCCAGATGCGTTTCTCTATGCGTGATTTCCAAGATATTGGTAAGAGGGAAAAATAATGCAATTACAGTGCTTTTATCTGCCGTAACACAGTTTTGTGAACCCCAGATAGTCACACAGACCTAACAAACTGCCTTGGCCTCCCGTATATTCAGGAAGCATAAACGGATGATGTGCACAGATGTATGTTAAATCTGTGGGGTGTGTTTTTTGTTTGTTTGTTTTTGAGTAAATGGAATCACAAACTTATTGTTAGGGCTTTTAAATCTTGAGATTGAAGATTCTCTGTATCAGAATGGTCAGAAGGTTTCCAGGATAAAAAAGTCTTGCCTAAAACCTTTTTGTAATAGTAAAATGTTCTGTTGTTGAGCTCAAGAAAGATCTTCAACTTTCATATATACCCTAACATATAAAAGTGGGTATATTAACTTATGATAATAGTACTTGTATTATTAATATTACAAAGAATTAGAAGGGCTTATACCAGCCACAGTATCGGTATTAGTGTATTGTTAGATCAAATGCATGTTCATTTTGACCCCCCCCCCCGCCACCTTTTTTAAAGATTTGGTTATTTATTTGGAAAGGTTGAGTTAGACATTTTCCGTCTTGTAGTTCAGCTCCCTAGATGGCTGCCAGGCCAGGCTGGTGCCAGGCGTCAGTAGCTCCATCTGTATCTCATGTGGATTGCTGGGACCTGGGTGCTTGGGACTTCCACACCGTTTCCTAGATAGATCAGCAGAGAAATGGACTGGAAGTGCAGTAGCCTGGACATGAACTGGTGACCATGTGGTTTTCCAGCCTCACAGGTGGCAGCTTTCACTTGCTTTCACTTGCTGTGCCACAATACCAGCCCTTTTAATGCTGCAGGATGGTACCATTAGTTTTCCATTCTAACAGGTTTTTTTTTAAGCAATAACCTTAAAAAAAATCAGTATTTGATATGTGGAACAGAATGTTTATTCCTTGTAGTCTATTTTATTCATAATAGTATTTAAAAATAGGACTAAAGGACTTAAATTCTTGGTCATACAGTTTTTACATGTTCTAGATCATTAACCCAGTCTATCTACTCTGCTTTTTGCTTCACCTCTTCCTCCATATTTTCAAGCAGCTCCATATCTTCCTAGCAGCTTCATTCCTTTAATGTTTAGTTATGTCTATACTATCCTTTAATATTTTGTCTGTTGGCATGGAAACCAGTGTGTCATGGTTATAATGCCAAAAGTGGTAAACATCATTCAAACCTTCTTCTGGTATAAACTTTAAAACTGAGATGTAAGACTCTTGGCTTCTTTTGCAGGCATGCTATTTAGTATTACTTTATGCTCAGTAGAAGATAAAAGTGAGTTATTAGGCTTTGTACTTTTCATAGTTTTATTGCTTCTGCTAATGGGATTCTGTTTGTGATTTGAATATTTGCTGTGTGTACAGTGTTGAGCAAGCAAGAAACTTTCAAAATCATTATGCAGAATCCTTTTTGAGACTTTTATTTGAAAGACAGAGATACGGAGAGAGACCTTCCATCTACTGAGATGCCTGGAGCTGAGCTGATCCAGAACCAGGAGCCTTTTCCAGGTGTCTCATACAGATGCATGGTCCAAGGAATTGAATTATCCTCCACTGTTTTCCTATGCTGTAAGTAGGGAGCTGGATCAGAAGTGGAGCAGCTTGGGCGCAAACTGGTGCCCATATGGAATGCTGGCACCACAGGCAGAAGCTTAGGTTGCTATACCATTGCACTGTCCTCCTTTGCCACCAAATTAAGTCTTTTACCTAAAAAGACTTTTCAGTTTCCTAAGTAGGTGACCCAAGAATAATTTGGTGCATTCTGAATGAATGTTTTCTTCTACAGTGAAAAACTCTGTAGAAATCATAAAAGCATTTTTAGTTCCAACTTTGAACAGTTTTGTATTTAAGCACTTTTGTTTCTAGATTGAAAATATACAGGCGACTTGAAGGTTTAGAATATAAGGGATTTTCGAAATAGATGTAGGGGTGGGCATTTGGTCTAGTGCTTGAAACATACACATAAAATTTGGAATGCCTGAGTTTAAATCTAGATCCAGTAACTAGGAATGGTAAGTAAATGTACATTTAGGGTCTGGCTCAGTGGCCAAATCCTTGCCTTGCAAACTCTGGAATCACATTACAGGCGTGGGTTTGTGTCGTGACTGCTCATCTTCCCATTCAGCTCCCTCCTTGTGGCCTAGAAAAGTAATTGAGGATGACCCAAAGCCTTGGGACCCTGCACCCACATGAAAAGCCTGAAGAAGCTCCTAGATCTTGGTTTTGGATTGGCTCAGCTCCATCCATTGCGGCTCCTTGGAGAGTAAACCAGCAGATGGTAGATCTTTCTCTTTGCATCTCCTTTCCAATAAATATAAGTAAATCCTTAAATATATACATTGAGTCTTGGTTTATTTTTTATTTTAAGATTCCAAGAATAAAGAAAAAATTCCAAATGCTTCTGAACAGAGAAAGGTGTTATTTTTAAGGAATAGGAGTCTATTGACATCCATATCTTAGCAGCAGTGGATGTAAAAACAGCAATCATTCAAACTTCTTATCCCAAAAGTTCAAATTTGTTACCAGTGATATGATCACTTGAATATAAGAACAAGTTAAAGACATTCCTGAAAATTTAAGAATTTAGGAAATTTAGCTTAGCCTCTGTAAATTGGATATGCACCCAGCAAAATGATACAGAAGTTCAAGGCACATGATGAAATGAGATCCAAGAAGCAAATTCCCTGAGACACCAGTGGAAATTCCAGGATAACATTAACTATGTAATAGGTCTAAAAAGAAAACTAGAATCAATTAAAATAGGAAACGCAGAGTTGTCTGTAAAGAATGTCTTCAAGAATAAAGTTAAGGGGCCGGCACTTTGGCGTAAGATAAGGCTTTGCCTGCAGCATTGGCTCTCTATATGAAGTCTGGTTTGAGTTCTATCTGCTCCACTTCCCATTCAGTTCCATATTTATGGCCTAGGAAAGCAGTGGAGAATGGCCAAAGTCCTAGGGACTCTGCGTGTGCGCACACACACACACACACACACACAGGAAACCAAGAAGAGGTTCCTGGCTTTGGGTTGGCTCAGTTAGGGCCATTGTGGCCATTTGGAGAGTGAAACAGTGGATGGAAATATCAGTCTCTCATTTTCTCTGTGTACCCTTGTCTTTCAAAAAAATATTTTTTTAAAAGTAAAAGCCACTGTATGTGTTATGCTGAAATTTCTTCAAGCAAGCAAAAAAAAAAAAAAAAAAAAAAGCGGAAGACAGAAAATCTTTAGAGGTAAATGAAATTGAACTGTGGAAGGACCATAACTAAATCTTGAATATTGATGCTGAAAGTAGAAGACTCTTGAAAATGTAAAAATATCATATTTCCATTTCCTGGAAATGAGAGTGGAAAGTGGTACAAAACTAAGGAAAAGTACAGCCAGCATTTAGATAAAATATGCCATGGGAACAGTAGATATGCTGACACAAACCTGGAAAATGGAATGGAAAGGGGCTGTGTCTGACTTAACGCTGGAAGGCAGGAATGAGACTGATGAAACAAGACTGGCAAGGATGTAATGACTTGATCCATTATCATCTGCTGTCTCTCTCAGAGGCATCTGCAGGAAGTTGGATCTGAAGTGAGGAGTAGTTTGATTCTTTACCTTCTGATTGGGGAGGTCGGCTTCCCAAGAGGCAGCCTAATGTGCTCTACCACAGTGCCCACTCCGACAACATTAACATTAAAAAAAAACAATTAATGTGAGTGGCTATATTGACAGAACAAGAGAAAGAAATACAAGATGATCTTCCCGAAAGATACAGCAAATATTGGTATAACAGAGTTTGATACCTTATCATAATAAATACTTTGTGGCAAGTTAGAAATGAAAGGAAACTTCCTCAACTCCATAATGGGCACCTGTGAAGGGTTACATAAAAAAGATTACAGCTGACATGCCACCTTGCTGACTGATTTCCTCGTAAGGTTGGGGGTAAAGGCAGAGTTTTTTATGCAGACTATGTCTCTGCAATAATTTATTAGGAGTCCTAGATAAAGTGCATTAAGTCAAAAAGAAAAGACATCAAGAAAAGAAGTAAGACTTTATTCATAGTTGATAAGATTAAATTTAGCAAATCTTAAATTACTACAAGAAATAAATTCAACTAATGCTGATCCTTAGGAGGAGAGTTCAGGGAAGAGAAAAGAGTGCATATACATATGTGTGTGCGTGAGTGTGTGAGTAAAGAAATACATAGTTGTAGAGAGGATACAAGGACACTATGCAAAAATTAGTAGTTTGTAAGAGTAAAGAGCAATCAGAAAATGAAGTTGGCAAATA